GTCTCTTGCGTGTGTGTGTGTGTGTGTGTGTGTCTGTTTGGCTGTTAATTGTTGGCTGATGAATCTGATAGAGATTTCTTTGATGTCTCTGGATCCAATTCTGATGAGCAACCACTAATAACATCTCAAGCCAAACGTCCTTTCCCTTTTGGTGTCTTAGCCACAGGACATACATACTTGAGCCTACAGCCTGACAAGCTTAACACTAAAGGTCCAAAACACACTGTACAGTAACCATGTTCCTTCAGTCACATGAAAGCTCAAAAGGGATTCCATAGCCTTCCACTCGAGCGCCCTACTTATTAGTCTTCCCGGTGGTTGGCACAGCCCGATATTCAAGCACACAATCAGCAGGGCTGAACGGTTTGCCTGGCATCTGTGCCCTCGCTCTCTCTTTCTCCACGAAATCCGGATCATCGAGACCCTAAACAAAATACAACACACAAGCAAGCAAAGAACAATCAGCCAAGGAACCAACATCATCTTGCTGCAAATGGTGCTATGCTGCCGCATAAGAAGTGTCATTCGTTACCTGGGTCTCGTAGAAACGCCTTACCCTTCTTTCCTCCTCTTCCAACTATACACACATTGAAGTTAGTAATGAACAGAGCAACAGAATGTTAAACAGCGGCTCTGCAGGGAATGAACAAACCGTCGTTATACGTACGCTTTCGTCACGGACCGGCAATCCCATATTACCAAATAGAGAGCATGCACACTGAGAGCTTGCTTTGGCGCAAGTATATGCAGCAGCATTGTTGGGGTGCTTCACATCACAACCATAGCAATGACCTTTATTTATGTTTCAAGGAGGAAATTGTTATTTAACTGCCACTGCCAAGTAAATCAACAAAGCACAACCACAGGGAATGACTGACAATTGACGGGGGAAAGAAGGATAAGCGATGAGATATTTCAATAATATGTAAGGTAAAAAAAGAGTACAGAATACCATTGTCATTAGGTTCAACCATGCAGAAACAGCTGACCACCAGTTCTACATATTCTCCACCCTTGATTTTGACTTCAGCAAAGAATAAATCTTCACCAACAGAGTTACTATCATCAGCTCCTTTAGTCTTCATAGTGAAATTGATATGATAGTACCTATGGCCATTGCCCCCAGCAACTGATTCGAAGCGCACAACATCTTTGAGTTCATATGCAAGATCCTGAAATTAAGAAACATCAATCTGATCAGCAACCAACTGTTAGATGAATAAGACACCGACACAGTGCAACCCTGGCCAAATGACAGAGGCAGTGAGGGAGAGAGGGAACAGAGATCAAACCCCTGAAAGATGGTGGTAATCATTATGCTTGTCCACCAAAGTTTGAACCAACTGTCGCTTCCAATCGCGCCTTCCATCCATTTGCTGCGATTCCAAAAGCTTCTTCCTTGTGCCATCAGGACAGTTAAGAGACAGTCTTACCACCCTTTCCAGTCGAGAAACACCAGTGAACCTAGTTTAAAATCAGAGGATATGCACATATGATTGGTAGTCTTCAGAGAAGGGAGGAACATGTTGACGTCATCAGGTCAAAAATAGGTTTAGGGTGAACTAGTAGCATCGCAAATTCGCAATGAAGAAATAGAACAATGGAAATCTAGAATGAAGTTGAGAAAGGTTACATTGTTGGATGCCGATGTTCTTCAAGATAGCGATCTATAGCGTCATAAGCTTCCCGCAAGCTCTGAAACGGCCCGCCCACGCGAGGATTCGTGTGGAAAGATCCCTTGAGGTCGACCCTGGTGAAAAATATGATCCCCCAATCAAACTGGGCCAGTGCCCACATAGGGAACGAGGAAAGGCAGCCCCAGGGCTGAGCCTCCGTCTGCACGGAGGACGGGGAAGCCGATTCCTCCAACGTCGTAGCATTGAGCAGGCCCTCCAAGGACGAGAGGTCCTGTTCTTGCATTGTTCGTGCTGCGCATGCAGGCTCGGCCACATGATCCTCCTCCTCCTGCTCACACCTGACGTGAAGCAATCAGGCTAGATCAGAGATACAGACCCTCCAAGATCAATCCCCATAGATCGTACCCCGAAACAATTCGATTTCGACTAGATCGATCGCAAATAGAAAGCTGATGGTGGTGGCGTCGAGAGGGGCACACGTACCGAGGAAGATCGCGGCAGGGGGCGGCGAGCAGGTGGGTACTGGCGGCGCGGATGAGGTGGTACATGCTTTCGAAGGGCTCGCCGGGAACGCGGTGATCCGTGAGGAAGTTGCCGTCCATGTCTATGTCGACGAAGATCGTCGGCCCGTCGTCCAAGCCGGAACGGGCTGCGGCGGCGAGTAGCCCATGCGAATCGACGGAAACGATCACTCGTCCGTCGGTGATGGGAACATCAAAGTAAAGTACGCGGTGGCGCGGAAGGTGGCGGCCGCGAGCGCCGAGACTGGTTGGCACGGAGTTGGCGACGGGGGATCCGATTCCGCGACCGCGGCCGCGCCCGCGACTGCCCGGAGGAGGGGGTGGCATGGTGTCGGCTGGGAGTATACCGCATTCCATGAGAAATCTAGCGAGTTTTTTTTTTTGAACGCAGAAATCTAGCGAGTTACTACCACCGAGTCCTGATTTATTGTGCTAAATTTTCACCGTAGATTTAAGTAACAAAACATTGATGCATGTCACAAAAAAATTATATTATTAAATCGTATTTAAACATGGTTTTCAATGATATTATTTTTTATGACGTAAATTAACCTTGTGTTAATTAAATTTAAGGTTAAAATTTAGTACAAAATACGAAGGGGGTCAATAAACAAGAATGAAGGTAGTACCTCTTGAAAAAACTATACTAATTAGTTTTTCTATGATGCAATACACGGTGATGCGGGGACGGGGGAGCCGGCGGCTGCAACCACAGTGGCTCGACGAGTAGGAGATGGTCGTAATCCTTGACCACTTCCGAAGGAGGGGGTTTGTTTGGATTGCGCCGGTGCTGTCGTGCCAACCGTGGGAGTGCCAATTAATTGGTGACTGATTTCATTGCACGTGTCTCATCGAAAGATTCATGAAAATGAACTACGAGGGCTGGGTAAAGGTGGGCACATCAATTATTTGGTGCTCATCCAAACGGTATGCAAAGCATGCTTTTTTTTCATTCATTAGTCACTTTCACAGGAACAAGTAGATTTTTGTCCATTAGTCACTTTCACAAGAACCACTAGATGTTAATCCAACAGTCCAAATTATTGCACTGTTCATCTTCAACCTCCTTCTCTTCTTCCTCCCGATCGTGGCGCCCCAGCCAGCCCTGCTCTAACCGCCTGCCTCTACCACCCACAACCAGCGAGCGCTACCGCGCGCTGCCTCGCCGCCC